TTTTTTTTTTGGGGGGGGGGGGTCCTTCGCCACTCATGTTAATACAACTTTGTTTACATCCCATCAGATGGAACAAAACATTCTCCCTTTTTTTTCTTCCTTGACCGGCCTTTGCATATAAACGCAAATCTATAGAAAAAGTAATTCTCAATGAATTTCGTTGTTCACCGTTGAGCTCAACTCACCGGGCCCGCGCGCCTTTCACTTCGTTGCTCCCAGTTTTCACTCCTTAGGGAGCAAAGGCAGCACGGAACGTCAGCTCCCCTTCACACAGGTGTGGTCGTGCCCCTCTATCTTCACCACAGAAATGCCGACCATCCGCTGACGGCGTTGAGGCCGCGCTAGGCTCTTCCCGCGCAAGGAGCTCACCAAGGAACTGTTCCACCATGCGCCACAGCCGCTCTAGCTCAATTCGGCAGCCTTGCGAGAGCAACGCCCCTGCGGCCCTCGTCTCAATAGTGTAGGAAAGAAAAAAGACTCTCTCTTCTTTTGCCTCGGCACCAAGGCGATCCACCCGTGCATTGAAGTCAGACTGCTCCTGTAGCCAGAATCCATCGTCGTCCACAAGCACAACTATGGGCGGCGGCTCATAGGTAATTGGTGAGGGAAACCACTGCTGGATACAACCACCACTGCTGTTTATCACTAACTGCTTGAAGCGATCCTTCGCCGAGAGCGAAGCTGTCGACCGAGGCTGGGCCGCACCCCGGCCCTCAAAACCACCACCGCGCTCACGAGGAGGCGAGCTGCCTGCTGTGAAGTGGCGCAGGGGCACAGAGGTATCCCACCCAACGAAGGGGTCAACGAGAATAACCCCCTGACAAAAGGCGCGACGTGCCACCTCCGCGCCTGCTGCCGCGTAAGCACCCACGTGCAGCAGAGGACAGCGACGCTCCAACAGGAGAAGCACAAACATTGCCGCAAGATCGCTTCCGCCAATGAGAACACGTCTTGCATGGGTTTTGCGCTTTCCAGCCTCCATCATGTCAAAGAGAAGCTGCACCGTCTCTGAGGCCCCACCAGCATTATCCATCGGAACAGTTACTAGAAGAGCGTCGCAACCCAAAGAATGCGCTAACCGAAGCACGAAACGCAGAGCAACAGAAGCCTCACTTTCCCATGGCATCACTAGCCACACCAAGAGCGGGATATCATCTCCCACTGGTTGCTGCGCATAAGCACTTGTCGCATGTGAACTGAGCCGGGGTGCCGCATCCACATTTGTGGTTCCCGAGACCAAAACTGACGTCCGTGAAGAGCGTGCTTTGAGGCGGTACAACCAGACGTTCTCACTGATTTTCTCCCTTCGAAGCTTCGCTTCGGCAAGCGTAGTAAACGGCTTTCCGTAGAATGTCTGCAGCATTTGTCGACAATAACCACCCATGAGGTTTGGAACACGTTGGGCGAGAAGCGCCAGGCCAGCCACAGCCTGCCGGTGATCCACCTCTGCTTCATCGGCGTGTGACGCCCGAGGTGAGTCCGCGGTCGGAGATGCACGTGACACAAGTTGCTGTCGGTGTCGCCGTTGACGATGATGGGATCGCTTTCTACGCAATCCTTCAACTTGGTTTCCGTACTGCCAAGTGAGGAATAGCTCAATGGTACGAGCTTTGAAGTCCATCAGGGCACCTGTGGCCTGCCCCAAGACTGCGTTTACTGCGGCGACGACACCACTCCACATCCCTTTTCCACACTTCTTCTCTCCCTTTCTTGTTTGTTTGTGTTCCCCCGTTTCTTGTCAAAAACGCTTGACAAAGCCTCTTCTTATTCTGTCCCCCAACTCACTCACTACACTTGCCTGAAAAGTACTTTACTGGGTTTAGCCCCCAGCGTCTCTCTGCCCTGACTCTCACAAAGCCTGCCACTTTTATGACTGCACGCAGAGAAGGCGGTAAAGGAGACCTACTGAACGTGGAAGCGAAGTGACAGGCACAAGGTATCTCCCCACACCCCACTCCCCACA